ACATGTTAGTTATATATTAGTTATATTTTGTATTGTAAGGTTAGATTAGATTAAGGCCCGACATAAGTGAGACCCATCTTCTGTCTTTATATACATGTATATATATTTGTAATTTAATACATCAGATATTTTTCTCACATTCTCACAAAGTAAAACTATTTGTCCTTGATAATACTACATTTAATTGTTCCAAATTATTTAAGTTAAAATTTGATAATATATTTAATTGTCCGAAACAACATTAATTAACGAGTTTCATAAAGCACTCTCCAGATATGTATATCGGATGTAAGGACTGAAAATATATGTCCATAACATAACCATGTCAATCACTTGACAACAAAAATTACATATATAATAACTTATTTGGAAGGACTCTCTTCTTTTTGTATTTTTCTCTTTTCTTCATGGATGTATTGATCCTTGATTGTTATTGTTTCAACTCAAAAAAAAAATAAAAAAAATAATAAAAAAAATAATAATTCAAAATTCAAATTTAATTCATCCACATTATCCTCAATATTATCAATACAATTAAATATTATTAACTGAATCATTCTTACACATCACATCTAACTTTAATTCAATATTCATCCACTTACATAATTTTAACTAACTATCACTTCCAATCGTTTTTCTCATACTTTACATCAAATCAATTTTAATTATTTTATTTAAATATTATTTTTATATATCCACTAACAACTAACCATACCGGATTAGTCGGTTCCCCTGTAGATTCGGAAACCGGAAGGTCCCTGTACCAAAAAAAAAAAAAAAAACTAACCATACCACATTTTTTTCAAAATTAACTATAATTAAAAAACAAATCAAATAAAAACTAGTTGAATTCATAAACAATCGACCCCTTAATTTACTTGAGGAAAAAAAAAAAACTAAATGAAGTTCCCCAAACTAATTGTCAAATCCGCAAAAAGGAACAGTAATTTTTTTAGTATTGTGTTACTATTCTTTCTTCCAGCCACAATTATTATTCAAAGTTACAAAACTTGAGGACAAAATCACTGCTGGAAATAGACAAACAAAATGAGAACACATCTGAAGACTCTGATTCCTTGTGATTATTCTCAAAACTATAAACACAACACTCACACACACACACAAAGCATACTATAGTCTCACCTAGTTGTCACTAGCTTCAGAACTTGAACTACAACTTCAAGTACATCAAAATAAAGGTATAGTCAAATAAGGAGGAAAAACAGATAAAAGTTCAAAACCCAAACTTCATTCAACTAAACCACCAAGATAAAACCCCACATACATTATAATCAAGTTACCGAGTCAGCCCAGGGACGAGATCAGAAAATCCGCTTCTCGTTCAGGACTGTTGAAACCCTTGTCCCGAGGGACAGAATTGGTATTACAAGTTACTTATGAAGGACTGTAAATTCCAACATACAAATGCTCGTTTTTTTTTTT